ATCTTGCTATGCTGATGGACAGTGACTGTAGTGGAGTAGGGTGGGTGGACTTGGTGAAGGGGGGAGCCTGGTAAACATAGTGTTCTTCATGTAATTATAGATTAATGATAGCAAAAATAAAAATAAAAATATGAATCTAATCATAGATCTAGGTTAAGGCAAGCCTACTATTATGAATTCTCAAAGGAAGAATTTCTCCACTCAGAGCCCCAGCTGAGAAATACAAACTTCCTTGACATCTGTCTGTGCTAAAGGGTGGATTGTTCTTCCCCTTAGGGTATAGATCTTCAAGGAACCCAATTACATGCTGAAGTCTCTAATAACCATCTTGCATTGGACCAAGACAAGCATCTACAAGAGCAATAAAACCCAAGCCCCCTGGACATTAAGACTGACAAATCCTTCTCAGACTTTTAGAGAGCTGCTACAGCATCAGTTCATTCTTACTGTTTTTATTTTCCTCTTCATTTTGGTTCTTGGAATTTCCCTTACTTTCATGTCAAGTTAGGTTACTAGGTAGCTGGTCATGCCATTAACCAAGACATTAACTCAAAATATTAAACAAGCTTTAATAGAATAAGAAAGCAATGAAATAAGAGTGTCAAACTTTAGAATGCAAGTATGGTCCTTGTTTCTGAAAAGCTAAAATTCTCTTTAACACATTCTAACATTTTCCTCTTCCATTACTTACCTGCTCTTTCCAACCTGTATTTTTCCCAGTGGATTCTTATAGGGGAATCTATGCTGGTGGTTTTGAAACTGTGTCCTGTAGGAGTAAATTGATTTGCCCTGAACTTGGAAAAAAGGGTTTATATAAAATGCTGAGGCTTTAAAAATGTTGGAAAATCTCTTTTCTGTGAGATAGAAAAAGTATTTTAAATGAATAAAATAATCTAATTAAAAAGCAAATCTAATATGAAGAAATACCTTGATTTATGTCTTAATCCCTCCATTTTTTTCTTCCATAAGTTTTAATTGGTGAAGAAATATCCTTGAATAAAAATTATACTGAGACTTCACATCAAGACTTGACTGCCCTACACAAATCAACGACCCACCTTTCTTTCTCTTAGGTTGTTCTGGTGATGAGGCTCCTGGTGAGTGGGCATATGTCTCCGGAACCTGCTGAGTTTCCACCACTTCAGGAATCCCATCTAATGTGACGGATACATGCGTGACTGGGGCAATAGCAATGTCATCTTCAGGTGAACTAAATATATTATTATCTAATGGAAATAAAATCAATTATCAACTTTGTATTATGAGTCAAAATAATTTCATCAAATAATTTTGTGTTTCTATGAAGACTGAAGTAGAAATAAAATCTTGAAATTTAGTCCTTTTTGTCTCTGCCCTAAATCAGGTCCCTTAGGCCGTTTAGGCTTGACTGGACTATCTCAGTATCTTCATTATTTGACTTCCTGTCACCAGTCTGACTCATTTCTCTTCTCTTTTTTTCCCATTGCTGCTAAAGTTATTCTCTGAAACCTAAGTCTGATTTGACCATATTATTCTTCTCTGTAAAAACTATACTCTGAAATTCAGAAAGAAAAATGGGCATATCTTCCCATAGTTTATGTGAGGGAAAAAAGAGCAACCCACACTGCAAAGCATGCCATCTGAAGCTTCCACAATCTGAATCAGACCTACCTTTCCAATCTCACCTCCCATCCACTATGAAGCTTACACTTCAGCTATACCAAAGCTTTTTTCTCTTAAACATTTCACTATTACATGTGTGTGTCTTTAGTTCACTCCATTCCCTCTACCTTGAATGCCCTTTCCTGCCTCCTCTACCCATTAAAGGCTAATTTGTCAACCAAGTCAAAACACTCTCCCATAAAGCTTGTCTCTGATGTTCTCAGCTGGAGTACTCTCTCCTTCCAGAACACTCTGCTATCCTTTAGAGGGCCTTTATTTTTGGTTTTTAGTTATGTACATTAATATCTGCCTTCAAAATTAAATGTAAGCTTGAGGAAAGAAATAGTATCTGTGTATCACATTGATGCACTACTGTGCATATAGAAAATATTCAATAAACATCTTGAATTGATTTAGTAATAATTAATACTATGAGTTTGACTACTTTGTCAGAAAAGCTCAAAGAACATAGATTTAAAAGCAAATCGATACTGTGGCAGTGAGTTTTATGCCATGAGTATTAGGAAATTTTTCAAAGGATTTTTGCCGATTCCCTGATGAACATTTATAGAAATCACTAAGTTACTGTTTGGGCCCTAAGTACCCTAATGCTTTCAACTAATGAGGTTAAGAGAAGAGACTGTGCACAATCTGGTATTTAATAAGTAAATAAATAACTTTTTTAATTCCTAAAAGCCTCACTTTCCAAATTAAAAAAAAAATGTCCTAACACTTAACAGAGTTGCTTCAACTAATACTGTACCTTAAAATGCATTGGTGACACTTAATTATATATATAAAAACATGGTCTCTGGTCTTGATATTTACCATCTCATAAAAGACAGATGGCAAAAATAACTTTGCAAAGTATATTAACATGAACAATCTTAACACAAAACTACTCACTTATTCGTTTTTCATCCAGCATAGGGTCAGGAGAATCCATATTGAGGAGTGCCTCAGCAGCCTCAATAGTTTCAATTGTTTCATCCCCATTATGACAGGAGGCTTCTACTACAACACATTTAAAGAAAAAACAGAATTAGCTGTATGACATCTGTTGCTCTAAAACACACAGATTCTGATCTCTTGAACCAGGGTACATCACTTAATACTTGCGTTTACATACATACATTGTATCAACATATTAAATCTATACTGAATATGACTACTAAATACATGTTTCTTACTTTTAAAGAACTCTACAAGATGTAGGTTTTTAAATTAAAAAGCAAAACAAAACAAAACAAAAACCTCTGCAAGATGCTGGGAGGTTAAAGAGTAAGCAAAATAGAGCTCAGACTCTGAAGTGAAATCACTGGTCATTTAATTCTTCTATTTTCAAGAGTAAGAAGTAATGGGCACTGACCTTGAGTAGAAAGGATTCAGAAATGACAGTCAGAAATCCGAGGAGTACCATTAAACTAATCTGTCACTGGACAAGTCATTTTGTTTCTGTAGAGGCCATTTTATAACATGACTGGGTTGATATTCTTAGATTCCTTTCAGCTCTAACACTGATTCCAATACTCTTAGTTCAGTAATAGGAATGAACATGGGTCTCCGGCAATCTGACTCTTTTTCCATTTCTCTATAATTAGTAAGTTGCCACCATCTCCAAAAAGTTTTAGTCTAGTCACATTATTAGAATCTAAACACCTCTTGACAGTTAGCATTCTGGTATTTGTCAGGTATACTGTAGAATATGATTTCTCCTACTATGGACTGTGCCTAGTTCAAATTTCTTCCCATGTTCTTAAAAAGTATTAAAAAATAAAAATTAATCCACATAATACATGCTAGATACTTGACACTTCTCTGCAGCCTGGATATCCAAAATATTTGCACAGTGAATTCCTGGGTGACATGTTAGCCCCTTAGCTCTAGTATCAGTACCAAGAAACTACAAAAAGATCTACAAATACCCTCTTTTCATAAATTCAAGTTTCCTGAATGTGACATTCATCATGCATAATTCCTTATTTTTACTTACTGTATTTTCCCCTCAATATTTTTGATGAAAATTACACATGCTATTTTTATAAATTTGTGTGTGTGTGTATAAATAAAACCATGATTTTCAGATTCAGGGTTAGACTGACAGTATGTAACTCAATGACTATAAACCTTTTCATTTTACACAAGATTAAAAAGTAAATACAAACATAGTACTTAAAGCAAAAGTTCTTTTTTCTCAAGCAAATGAATGAAAGTAATCATTTACACATTGTCCCCTCCCCATTCCTATTCAATCCAGAGAAGGCACAAAATCATTTTCCTTTTTATTACTGAGGCTACGACCAGATTTCCAAGGTATTGGTAGCTCTTTGAAATATAGCTTAACTTTCCATTAGAATATTGTAACATTTATTATCCTAAATTTTTCCTAGCCAGTCATGTTCTCTTTAGACCGAAGATCTACAAGAACCTACAACACTTAATTGACTCCAAGTTCCTAATTGGCAATAATATTGAACGCCTATTACTCTTAAACAATTGTGCTCGGAAATGTGGAAGATAAAATAGGATAAGACATGACCTTTCCCCTTATCTACTGGTAACTGATACTGAGATAGTGAGAAAATTAAAAAGTGATTAATTTTATGGTACAGAGTAGACTGACTACAAACACTGTATATCTATAATTTAGGAAGGCTTCTGAAGAGACGGACTTAGGCTGAGCCACCTAAGATAGCTAGGATTTAAATACTTTGAGAAGAAAAGGGGAATTAAAGCAAGAATAACAGTAAAAGCAAGAATATGAGATTATACACTCAAAAGAAAATGAGATAACTAGTCTATACTTTATAAAACAAAATGTATAACTGCTAAAGATTTTTACAATAACAGATTAATTAACCTGCTTTACACACTGATTAATTCGGCTGACTGCCTTCCCAAGGAAGGGAGCAATCCTATGATGGGAATGGACAGGAGGGACTACTGAAGGAGCAGAGAACTGGGACAATTCCTGAATGATGGATACACAGAAGTTCAGGATCTGGGGTCATACACTAGCCTGCCCCTCTCAATCAGAAAGAAACTCCTAAGAACATTTTTCTCTCATAAGGTAAAAGGTAACAGTTGGAGTTCCCACAACCTGCCAAGCCACATTCCAGATAGCTAAGATGTATTTGCAGACTTCAAACTTCTGGGCTTGATTCCCTCAGCTAGTATCTTTGAACCCAAACATCTATAGGGTCACATTGACATCAAGGAACAAGGAGGACATAGGCAATATAAAAAGAGAAAATTGTTTAATCTAGTTTGGATTTTTCAAACAGCAATTCAACCTTTCATGGGGTCTTCCTCTTTCAGAGCATTATAACTTTTCCTCTTAAGGCAAAGTGGAAACATTTCTGAGTTACTACAAAAAAAATACTCTAGAGAGACACTAAATAGAATTTTTACTAGTTTTTTATTTCTAAAAGTATGTCCTTTTATTTTTATGTCAAGATGTATCACACTTCATTATGAGACTACTGATAGACTCTTTATAGTCTTCATTATGAGACTATTTCCCCTAATTGTAATGAAAAATAATCAATTAAATTTTAATTATATATTCTGTAAAAACAAATGCAAACAAGTCCAATTCCTATATAGAACTTAAAACTAGCAAAGATAAATACCTCAAAAATTCGAGCAAAATGATTAAAATATGGCATTGTAATACTTCCTATTAAAAACTTAAGCCTCCTATTTAAAATCTTGTAAATTTAAGGCATAGTAAAAATCGTATTACTCCTTTGACAGGGCTTTGAAATTCTATGAATTGAGGAAAATATCCTAAGGTTAATTTTTTAAAAAATCAAGCAAATGAGGCCAGCTGACTCAATAATTACCATCTCTTTAACATTTATATTGCCCAAAATACTTCACATAAATAAATTTCTTAAAATATTTTAAAGTCTGTCATATACATAAAAACTATAAACTCAGCACAATTTACTTGCCTAATGATTAAGAAATAACAGTAAGAATTTCAAACACTTCTGTCAAGCTTTTTATAACAAAAAATTTCAAATATATACAAAAGAAAAGAAAATCATATAATGAACCCCATGTATCAAGAGCCCAGATTCAATACTTAATATAACCAATCTTCATCTATACTCCCCGCCCAATACAACACATTGGATTATTTTAAAGTGAACCCCAGCCAGTCTATCATTCAATTGCAAATATTACAGAATACAGAATTTTTAATAGATATTATACTTTAAACCAAATATACAGTTAATATCAAAATTTCTCTACTGTCTCCAGTTCTTTAAAAAGTTTGTTCAAACCAGAATCCAAAGTTCATGCACTACATCTGGTGACATGTGCTGCCTTTTTTTTTCTTTTTGCTGTTTATCTTAGAAAAAAGAGGGCCATCTGTAGTTTCCCACACTTGTAGATTTGCTAATTATACCTCCACAGTGCCACTTACCATATCCTCACCCCTCACCCCGCCCCATGTATTTACTACAAACTAGTAGTTACATCTAGAAGCTTGATTAGAGTCACATTCATTTCTTTGCCAAGAATATTTCAACAGTGGTGCAATAGGATTCTACGTGCCTGCTGAAGTTATGCTATGAAGTCTGGTCATCTTTTTTCAGTACTGTTAAAATGGAGAACCTGGTTCACGAGTTGTCAACTTGATCTATCCACTATAAAATTCTCCATCAGCCTTTCATTTAATGGCTTTAGCAGTTATTGATGATAGTTACCTAGATCCACTGTTTCATTAGGGATTCCAAAATGGTGATAATTCTAATCCTAACATTCTTCTAGTATTTATTAGCTCGAATACTCTATAAAGAATAACTTTCCTTCATCAACTATCTGGTTACACTGAGCAACAGCTCATATGATAAAGGCAGGTTAAACGCTTGGTTCTTTTAAAATTACTTATTAGTTTTCATAATAATAAATAGGCTTCCCAGCATCTTCCAAAAGTGATCACTGAGTTATTTTTAGTATCACTGTGAATACATATATTTTAACTTATCTGATGTTCTTTAGTTCTTTGCAGTTATAATTTTAAATTATACAAAGCTGGTTCCTGGATATTTCAGACATGACCCAAGTAATTTTTAATAGTTTCTGTGTTTTATGGGATGATAACATAGTATAGGCTATTCTTGTACATTTTCTGCCGCAAACCCAAAAAACAGCAGTTTCTGCTAAGTACCCTGGTATCTTTGGTGGAAAGTGAATTTAGAGACCATGATTTGTATACTAGAGATGTTCATTCACCACTGTAATATTCTTCACGACTTCTAAGCCTTTTCAGTACCCAAAGTTGGGGAAAAGGTTGATTTTTCTAAAAATTATTTTGGAGAATTTTAAACATATTCAAACACAGAGTAATATAGTGAATTCCTATGTATCCATCACCCAGCTTCAAAAATGATATATCAACTCATGGCCAATCTTGTTTTATCTGTTATGTCTACTTACTCCATATTATTTTGATGCAAATTCTAAATATAATATTTTAGTAGTGACTATTTCATAAGCTCTCTAAAAGGGCTCTATTTTGAAAATAAAAACATGATTATCACACATTAAACCTGTTTTCCCTAACTTCAAATAGTGTTCAAATGTCCTTTTGTCTCAAATGGTGGTGTGTGTGGAGAGTTGATAATCCCATGAAGTTTCCCATAGTCTGGATTTTGCTACTTGTATTCCCATTGTATAGCATGTTTTTCTAAATTTTCTCTGAACTGGTGGTCAGTTCTGGGAGCTAGATCAAATGGTGGTTGAATTTTTGGGGGAGGTTATTTTTCATATGTGATTATGTGTTTTTCCTTTAAAAGGCTCAAATATCCGATGTTCTCTTTCTGTGATGTTAGCAACTGTTGATGTTCACTATCTACACCTCTTAATTCATTAGGCTACAAAATACAAATAATCTACTTATTTCCTTTTCATGTATTAGTTGAACATCGCTATAAAGAAAAACTTCACATCTACTAATCTACTTAGTGATATACTTCATACAGGGATGGGAAAATAAATGT